CAGGTGAATAAACTGAACCGGTAGAGCTGAGAGATTTTCTGTGTCATCAACCTGACAAAKAGGATGTAGCCCATTAACCCAGATTGGGTTTCTTTTAGTCTCACTCTGGGTGGGAGAGGGCAGGTGGGTGCATCTCACCCTGCGTTGGCACGACACCCTCTGTGCGATAGCAGAGAGATATGCAGGGATTGCATCGTGGCTCAGAGAAAGAGCAACAGATGGACTCGCTGGGTTCCAAGTGAATCACTATCCAGCAGGAGCAGCTTGAAATCCTCATCAGTCTCAATGTGGGTTTTGCTCTCGTGGAAGTGGATTTGGTTTCCTTTCAACACAGTRGACGCTCCTCCACAAGAGGTCACCTGGGGACGAAATCAGCACCACCTAATTTGTGTTTCCTTTCCCTGCCCTCTTGCGACGTTTATAACTTGGCTTCTTTTTGGAATGCTTTTAATTTACCTGGCAAAMAAAACTGATAGGCACATGATTTTTCCATCTGCCTGTGTTCTCACCCTTCAAACTCTATTGAGCTTTAAATGCTGTCTAAAGTGTAGCTGTGTGGGTAATGGAGGTTGAGATAAAAAGCACTGGTCAACATTAAATTAATGAGCTGCATGTTTTAYTATTTCCTGTAAAACTGTACCAATTTTGTATGTCTGGGGCTGTTTACCACAGTTTAAGACAATTTCACTTTATGCATATGGACATCATAAGAAGGCTTGATATCTCAGTAGTGACCAGTCTACATGTCTAACAGAAATTTTGCTTCAAGTCAAGGGATTTATGTGTCGAATTAAAGCAGACATGTAAAAAGAGGGATTTAAATCCCTCTTTTTCACATTTAAATCATTCAGCTGGGGTCTATACGAAGTGGAACTGCAATGCTTTGGTCTGAATTCCCTCTTARTGTAACTCCACAAGCCCCTGTTTGTTTTTTAGCAATATTCGAGCGAGAACAACAAGATTTCAGGGAGCACATCAACATTCGAAGATTTGAGCTCGCACAACCGGATTCGAGGGCACACAACACCATTTGACACTTCCACATGTAATGCTACCTTCAACTTGTTCACTTTAAAGTTAGGGAACCATTTGTTCAAAATCTTGTGAAGTGTGCTGTATAAAAMGTTTTCATTCAATTTCAATGTTGCAATGTGTTGCACACAGCTTGTTACAGTACTGTTGGTAATTATAAACCATAATAGAACAATATAAAACTTTTTACGTTCAACACCTTTACACTTTGAGGATCATCTAACCTTTACGTCGACTTGTCAGCCATCATTACCTTAGAAAAAAAATGGCGAGTAACAGTGGACACCTCCGTTTTAGCAACGACGGGGCGTCTCAAAGATTGCCTTCTGGACTCATTCATCTCACACACTGCTCCCACTTTAACATATTGGCATTTCTGAGGTGCTTGGCGGTAATTGTCAGCCACACGGCGACTCCTCGTTTGTTTCAGTGACATTTTGCCTTTGGCTGATTGTGTATTTAACAGGGAAAGGAAAGCAAAATTAATTGGAGAGAGGCCTTAATCTGTCGGCTTGAAATGTCACCCCTGTATTGTGATGTCTTCCCTGACACAGTGGCACACAAGAGGCGGGAACGTAAAGGTAAGTGAATTCAAGAAATGCAAGYGAAAAAGACGAAAATAACAAAACCTTAATTGAAAATCAGTAGGCTTTTTAATAACTAATACATCATTCTAATTGTCAATATTCCTCAAAACTTTGTTGCTTAGGTGTAACAACTCCTACAGCAACTCGAAGAAATTAAATAATTATTTAGTTGAGTTTCTTAGCTGTCTGAAAGAGCAAACAGAAGAGGAATGAGGGTTTTGTTGGTCCAAATTGGTTCGTTTTTCTTAAAACGGCACTCAAGTTAGCATGTTAAAAATAACCGTAAAAATCCAGGCTGATCTTTGGTTCATTATGCAAAGTGTTGGAATTTCTCACCAGGCTCTGTTCAACAAGTCGTTTTAAAATGTCACTTCTGCAGGGGTGAGACCCTGAAAGAGCAGTACCTGTGGCTGAGAACAATCTAGGAAGCTGTCTTTTTACATCACACACACACACACACACACACACACACACACACACACACACACACACACACACA